CATGAATATTTAGTGTCTGTGCTCAACACATGTGCTCTCCTTACTAACTACTTGCCTATATTTAAAGCAAACTATAGGTTTAACCCATCCCATTTGCTTTCTTGTCTTTTATAATATAAGTATTTTTAAACAACGGAACACGCACAGTGGAGGTGGAATCCATCCTAGTGCATCACTAGCCTGCCAGTTGTTTCTCTTTAGGCTCTTCATGATGAGTGGACACTGAAACATTCATTTTTTTTCATATTATTTCTATTTTTAGTAATGATGAGTCGAAGAAAGAACAGGAGAAAGTGGAGAAGCATTCAGTGCCTGCTCTTTGCTCTCGTGATCAAACTCATTGCTTGGACTGAATTGTGTCTCCCCAAAATTCATACATGGAAGTCCCCATCCCCAATGTGACTGTATGTGGAGATAGGGCCTTGAAGGAGCTAATTAAGGTTAAATGAGGTCCTAAAGGTGGGGCTTTTATATGATAGGATTAGTGTTTTCATACGAAGAGACACGAGAGAGCTCCCTCTCTCAGTGCGCACGCAGAGTGAGGGTCTCAGCACACAGCACAATGACAGTGCTTTGCATTTCCTTTTTTAAAATTGGTCATTCATGTATCTTCTTTTTCAAGAAATTTTAATTTTTTTATACAATTTTTAAAGGTTACACTCCATTTAAAGTTATTACAAAATATTGGCTATATTCCCCATGTTGTACAATAATACATCCTAGTAGCCTGTCTTACACCCAGTCGTTTGTACCTCCCACTCCCCCACCCCATGTCGCCCCTCCCCACCCCCACTGGTACCTGCAAGTTTGTTCTCTGTACCTGCGAGTCTGTTCCTTGTTTGTTATAGTCGTTAGTTTGTTGTATTTTTAAGATTCCACATACAAGTGGTATCATACAGTATTTGCCTTTCTCTGTCTGCCTTATTTCAGGCAGTGCCTTGCATTTGCATCTCAGACTTTAGCTTCCAGACGGTGAGAAGATAAATGTCTGTTGTTCAAACCCCCAGTCTACAGTATATCATTATGGCAACCTGAGCAGGCTACTGCACTTACAGCAAGCACATGGAGAAGCAATTTAAAGAGAGACAGGTTTAACTTACAGATGTAGTAATGCTGCGCGTTCTTTTACGTTAACAGAGTACAATTTAATATCCACAGGTTGTGTACATTTCATGACAGCAATTCCTTTTTGTTGGCTCCTTTCTTTAATTGAGCCCATGTGTTTGTTTTGAGTTATTGGGTACTTTCTTCAGAAATCATTTTGTCTGCTATGTGGTGAAAATAATGCCACACTACATGAGCACCAGGATTCTACAAGAAATCTGCCACTGTTCCCCCATATATGAAGTCTACAGATCATTATCTTCCAGGGAGGCCCTCCCACTACTGGTGCCAGAACTCCCCACTCATCAGCTTTCTCTCAGTTCTAGAACTTAACTGGCTTTGCATTTTCATCACTGAACTGAACTTAGGTTCACTCACTGGATGTGCAGCAAAGCCAATCTGCTGACACTGGGTTGTGATGAAGGAAAGTACAGTGTTATTTGCAGGGTGCAAAGCAAAGAGAATGGGTACCTAATGCCTAGAAGACCTGATGGCTTTTGGGCAGGGTTTTTAAAGGCAGCATTAGGGATGTGGGTCGCAGGGTGCAAGATCAGCTCGTGGACATTCTTCTGATTGGTTGGTGGTGAGGTAACACGTGATGTTTCAGGAATCTTCATCATCAGTCTTCTGGTTCCAGCCAGTCTGAGGTCTCCAACTGGGTGGGGGAGGGGTCTTAGTTTCTGCAGAACAACTCAGAGGTATGAGTCAGATTGTTATCTCTGTCCCTTCCTGTGACTCTGTTTTTCGAGCTGTTGTTACTTTTCTTGCTTGATTCCTTTTCCTCTGTTTCTGCATTTTCTCATTTCTCTAATCGTTAACTGTTTGAGTCTGCTCTCTGGAACTTGGGGTAGCCTTAGGAGACTAAAGCTTTTTTCCTACAAACAAGAAGCGGAGACACAGAAGGTCTTGTATCCAGCAGAG